TAGGTTCTGAAAAATGATTTAAGGGTAGAGAGCACTTAGGATCCCTGGAGAATGTACAAGGGCCTGACCACTTAAGTAATTGGACGTAAGTTGAATTTATTTACATATGGAAGTAATTCATTGTCAAGAACAAGGAAGAAATATGTGACACCCCAGGAACACTTCGTAAATAGAATGGGGACAGTTTGTATACGACCTAGCAAAACAGCCAAAGAAAGTCCAAACGGAAGTGAGCATGAGCTGAACAAGATTGTAGTTATGCCTACTCTTTCTTGTACATTTAGATCAGCTGTGGTCCTTACGTAATCTGCTCCTGGAAAGTTCTATCATCTTGGTTTTCATTTCTGGTGACATTTCATTCTTGGTCAGAGCTGATGATTGGGTGACTTCCATTTTCTCTCTTTGAGGAGGCCCTTCTTAGGGCTTTGACTTAATTTGGCCTTTTCCTTCTGACTCTGTGTAGTAGCTACAGTGGCTGGTCCTCCCCCGGCCCCTTTGCGCAGACCTCGACCCCGCGGATCATGCTGTCACCGTACTATGTTCCCTATATAGATCATCCAGGGCATGCCACGTTCCCATCTTCAGTTGAGGTTTTAGGACACAGTAAATATGTGTCAGCATACATTTTTGTTATGAAAATTTCAGTCTGTGATGAAAGGAACACAACGGTGACTAGTCATCTGTGATGTATAATGACCTTCCCATCACGTTTTTGTTTTATCTATGTCCCCTCTCCCTGCACTGTCCTAGGGACAGCTGCCAGGGCATTCGGCCCCAGGACTATGGTCTGTGTCTGGTGTGCGCAGAGAGAAGAGCCACAGGGCTGACGGTACAGAGGAGGGAGGCGATGACTTGTGGAGCCACAGGGCAGAGCCAGGAATGGGACTCAGGGCCCGTGGCTGGAACTCAGCTGTCGGGAACGATGTGACGTGTGCAGAGACTGAGCAGGAGAGAGCAGGGACACCAGTAAGACCAGGCACCAGGCGGTCAGAACAAAACTGAGGGCAGGTCTGAACCTGAACGCCAAAGGTGCAGTAAAAAGAGGGGCAGGTGGACAAGCTAGCAACTTGATTCTTCGGACATCCTGGAAATTCTTTCCAGCACAGTGTGTCTACAGTCAGCCTCATCCCTCATCTTAGTCCCTCTGCGACCTCCCCTCTTACTTCTGATAACAAGATACATCCCGTCGCCCAGCCTTGAAATCTCTGATCTTGTTTGCGTCCCTTTATCTTTGCATCCAGTCACTTCCCGTGCCTCCGTGGAAAGGCCTCGGGGCTCCAAGCGTGGCTCTTCCACACTAGGACCCAAGGTGAGGTCCCGTAACCGCTGAAAGTAACGTGTAAGACCACAGTCTGAGCGTGGTGTTGAGATTAGAGGGAAGTGGAGAAAACCCTGGTTACCCCTCAGCAGACCGTGCCCGTGCCCTCCAGATCCGCGCCTGCCTCCCGCTTAGCCTCCCTGGCTCTTCCGGCTCCATCTCCCTAACGATGTGGCTCTAATCCTGGCTCGTCCCAGCTCATTAGCTATTCATTAGTTGTTAGCGTGAGGCCCCAGGTTCCTGGCCTGCTCCTGAGGACCCTTCACCATCTGGCCCCAGCCTGCATTTCTGTTCTCGTTCCCTTACGCTTACCTTCGCGTGCTGTGTTTAGTCACCTCTAACTACCTGTTATCTTCAGTGCAGGCCCCTCTCCCAGGCCCTGCTCAGACTCGAATGCGTTCTTTTCCATGCCGCTCAGGCTCCCACATCTTCCCATCTTTCCAGCCCCTGTCCAAGCGTCCCCATCTCTACCCCACCTCCCTGTGCCCCCTGTCTCAGCCTCAAGCTTCAGTAAGACCTTTCTCTGAACTTCCGTTAGTCTTTCTCTGAGCCCTTGGCCTGCTTACTGCTGTATGCTTTGTGTTATTTGGACACGTGACTTATTTAGCCTCAGGTTCTGAGTCCTGGAGAATTCTCGCTAAGCACGTTGCGCGGTGCCTGTCTGTTGCTGCGGTTAGTAAATGTGTTGTGGTAAGTAAACCAGGCATGGGGATAATGACAAGCCGATTACGAGCTGACCGCTGCTTTGTCCGCCGAGTACTCATGGCTCCTGTGGCGAACTCCGGTGAACCATATATGCGTGCGTTCTTTCTGGGCTCTCACGTCTCTTCTGTTGGTCCGTGTGTCTGTTTTATGCCAGTGCTACACAGTTTCGATTACAAAAAGTTTTGTAATAAAATCTGAAATCAGAAAAAACAAGCCAGAAGGTGCTGACAGATGCATTGGAACTATACGGAAGGAAAGCAGCGGCATAGCCCGGCCCGGGCAGCCCGGCAACGTTCCATGCCGGCCGGGAGCTTTTATGTGGGTCCTGTCGAGGTGCGAAGAGGCAAGCGGACCGCCTTGAGCGGCCGCTGTGTGCCAGGTGCCCTTCTAGATGTTTTACGTGGTTTACTCATTTGAACCCCAATCAGATCACGTTCTTCCCTTTCTTAATATTCCTCACGGGCTTCTTGTTGTTTGTTACACTTAGAATAAAATCCAAACTCTCCTAGCACAAGCCCTACGGAATCCCTAAACGCAGCCAACATCACCCGAACCAGACACGGCGCTGCCTCCCACTCCGCCATCACCTGCCCTTACCCTCCCGACCCCAGCATTAGGCTAAAGCTTTCCCCGTGAATCCCAGTGTTCCCTTTTCAACCTTAAAACGGACCTGGTATGGCAACAGTGACTATGCTGTCTTCGTATGTTTTACTTTTTCAAACCATGCTCGTAGGTTGTCTGTCTGATCTTATTTCAGTCCGTAATCTTTGGGCTGCCTTTTCCAAACACAAGCGTTCGTACAGAGGGAACGAAATGCCGAGAAAACTCGACAGTTTGTCAAAGACCATCCTTGCCAAACATCACATGCCAGTTGTGGGCTTAACTCCTGCCTTTAAGCTTGAGATGTGTTCTGAGAAGCTTTCTTCAAATAGAGTTTGGCTAAACACACTTTCCTTAAAATGTGCTAAGAAGTTTCTTCGATCTTTGAAGACAAATAAGTGGTTCTAATAACCACTGTGGGGAGGGAGATTGTATAGCAATAGGACTGAGAATGAGTTTTCACTATATACCCTTTTATACCTTACATTTTTGTTTTTTGACCATATGCTTGTCAAAAAACAATCAGACCATATGAGACAGTTTGGAAAAAAGAGGAAGAAAAAGAATTATTCCAAATCCTACAGTAATCCTAAAACAGCCACCTGGGATTGCCATTGAAAAACGAATTTTGGAGTGGGTGTTTTGTCGAGCAAACAACCTGACCCTCCCTTTGTACCTTCTGTAAATAGGTATTCCAAATACAATTTTTACAGCAGGATATGTTTTATTTACTCTTGTTAGTAAACGAATTTCCTTTAGGTAATCTTCATGTTTATTCATTTTTTTTCCTCCCCATTTGGGCAAGAGTAAAACTCACAAGGGGCGCCTGCGTGGCTCAGTCAGTTAAGCATCTGACTTTGGCTCAGGTCACGATTTCACAGTTTGTGGGTTTGAGCCCCGTGTCGGGCTCTGTGCTGACAGCTAGCTCAGAGCCTGGAGCCTGTTCCTTCCTCTCTCTCTGACCCTCCTCTGCTCACGCGCTCTCTCTCTCTCTCTCTCTCTTTTAGAAATAAATAAAACATAAAAAACATTTTTTTTAAAAAGGAGTAAAACACACAAAAAGGAGATAACCCAGTCTCCTCTCAAGGTTCACTGAAGCTCTTAGCACACACCCTCTTGCCCCCCCTCCCTCCCACCACAGTTGGTACACGTGTGTCACATGCAGCAAGGACAGCTGGGAAGAATAAAGGAAGTACAAATGTACAAGTAGAATAGCTAGAATTTCCCAGTTGGTTTGGATGTGGGGGTAAGGGAGATGGAAGCTCAAAGATAATCGGTATAAACAGGAGACTAAGAGACTCAGTTTTGGAATTAAATTTCCTGGATTCAGATCTCATTTCTGCAGGTTGTTAGCTGCCTGATCTTTAGTAATGTTAACTCCCAGGCCTCAGTTTTCTCACCTATAACATGGGGATAATTTAGCACCTGTTTTACTAGGGCTATTGGCGGCTTGAGAGCCGCCACCTAAAGCACTTAGCATAATGCCTGAATGTTTTCCACTTTTAATTATTTTTTAAAAAATATTTTATTTATTTCCAAGAGAGAGAGGCAGAGTGAGCAGGGGGAGGGTCAGAGAGAGAGGGAGACACAGAATCAGAAGCAGGCTCCAGACTCTGAGCCAGCTGTCAGCACAGAGCCCGACGCGGGCTCGAACCCTCAAACCGTGAGATCATGACATGAGCTGAAGTTGGACGCCTAACCACCCAGGCACCCCTCCACTTTTAATTATTAATGGTGACACTTTTTTAAGATAGAGAATATAAAAAGAGGAGCAGAAATGGGAGATGTCGACGGAAGGTGATTTCCGTTTAGACAAGCTAAGTTTGGAGTACCTGAGGAATGTGCATTCTACAGAATCGAATCCAGAAGGCAGAGATGAGGGCCTGGGGTGAGGAGGTGAGGAGCTCACCTGGGTTACAACAGGAGGAACGATCCCGCCTCTGCCGCTGTGGCTTTGCATTCATTCTCTGACTCCGTTCCGTGCATGGTCTCAAAGTTCAGATAGTCTGACCCTGTGAAAATGTTTGATCACTCGAAAGATTCGTGGTTGCTTATCAGAGTTCACTTGGCTCACTGGAGAGTTTGTGTTTTTCCAACCACTAGCATCAGGGCTGCTGTGTGTGTGTGTATGGGTTGCTCACTGTTGCAGGATGCCAGTCCCCAGGCGGGCAGGGGGTGAAATTTGGCTCTCCACTGTGCCCAAGCCATGATCTCTTGGCTACAGGCTAGCGGTGCTTCTGGCTTGGGAACCTTTGCCTGCTCCCGCAGTCAGGGGCTATGAGCCTCTGTTGAAGTTAAACTCCATACAGTCACTTTAAGTTCCTATTATAAGGACCATATCCTTGAGGCACTTAATCTTTTTTCTTTCTTCTTGCAGATCATCAATGCTGTGGTACTGCTGATTCTGCTGAGCGCCCTGGCGGACCCAGACCAGTATCACTTCTCAAGTTCTGAGCTGGGAGGTGACTTTGAGTTCATGGATGATGCCAGTAAGTATATCAGATAGCAGTTGTAGATATTTTGGTACTTTCAAGGGCAGGGAATCCTGCTGTCAGTTATTCCTGTTAAATTACAAATATTGATTCATGGGCCATTTGAACTGATACTTCACTTTCTTTCCATCTTTATAAATCAGATCAATAAATATTTATGTGCATGTGCTCTGCCTCTGTTCTAAGTGTAAGAGTCTAAATAAGATCTCTTTTGTTTTTGTTTTCCTACTTTACATTAACTTTCCCATTTTTTTTAAACTAATGCTTTGTCATGGTCTTTTTACCCTGGGCCTTTTGGCCTTTTTGAGAGGATGGAGAGTAAATGGCAGGAAACAAGGTCAGAAGGGTCATGCATATCTCATTGTGTCTTCAGTTATTTTCTGTATTTCCCTTTCTTCTAGAAGGTGATCAATTTCTGTTCCAGAAACTATGTTGCTCATTATTTAGTGGACTTGGGCCTTTCTCCAGTAAGTAGAAACTTACACAGGGATGTGGGATAGGATAGGCCTGAAGGAGGCTAGGCACCCCAGCTCTAAGATCATGGGCACCTGAACATTATAATTATAGTCATGCCGTGTCCACACTGACTGAAAGGGGCAGCGCTGTGCATAATCCCAAACAAAAGATCATGCAAATTTAATTCTCATTGGCTTTGGAGAACTTTAAGTGCATTTAAAAAAAAAGTGCTGCTTGGGGCGCCTGGGTGGCTTAGTCGGTTAAGCGTCTGACTTTCGCTTAGGTCATGATCTCGCGGTTCGTGGGTTCGAGCCCCGCGTCGGGCTCTGTGCTGACTGCCAGCTCAGAGCCTGGAGCCTGTTTCAGTCTGTGACTCCCTCTCTCTCTGACCCTCCCCTGCTCATGCTGTCTCTCTCTCTCTCTCCTAGAAATAAATAAAACATTAAAAAAAAAAATTAAAAAAAAATAAAGTGCTGGGGCAAAATGAGTAAGGTGGGGAGAGAGTGACTCAAGATGCAGTTTTAGGGGCAGCCTGGGTACGTTAGGAAGACATTGAGGCCTGTGGATTCCGTTCTCAGAGTGATAAAAATGCTTTTCAGTGGGTTTTGTTTGTTTGTTTGTTTTTTTTTAGTAATTCAGTAGTTACGTACTGATGTGTGTTTTACAGAGATCCTTTTTGTCACTGAATGGAAGATGCAATTAGGAGACTGGTTTGGTGGGGTTTCCCTGTGATCCAGACTGCACTGAAAATGGGGAAGAGGGTGGGTTTGGAGGTAGGATTGAGAGAACTTGCTGGTATGGATGAAGAAAGAAAGTGAGAAATCAAAGATGATCCCTGCTTTCCAGCTGGAGTAAAAGAGCTGATCGTCACTGGGGCGACAGAGTCCGGGGTCAAGAGATAAGAACACTCCCTGGGCAAGGGGACTCGACTTTGCTTTAAGTGACTCACCTGGGGCAGAGGACTTGAGTTTGCTCTAAGTGATTCATGGGGGTTGTTAAGAGTGGACGTTATGAAGCAGAGGACCTAATTTTGAATCTTGACCGTGCTGTGTATTAAATATGCTAACATGCGCTAGTTACTTACCTTTGTGTGTCTTCCATTCCCTCTCCTGAAAGAGTGGTGATCGTAGTTGCCTCATGGGATCATTGCAGTGATTAAATCAGTTAGTGCATGAACACTGCTTAGAATGGGGTCTGGCCCATAATAAGTGCTCAGTATATTTCGCTGCTCTACTAGCCATTCTTATTTAGGTATGTTACAGTTGAGATACAAGCTGTCTTAAAGTGGAGAGATTAGAAGAAGTTCTATAACCCAGAACTCAGATGTCTGGGCTGATGTAAATTTGAGAACATTAGTAAAGAGAAAGGAAAGGGGTCTTGGACTGAGTCCCATAGGAGCCCCAACAGTAGACATTAGGACATTATATTCTTCTCCTGGGGTTCAGGACCTTCTCTGACTGAGACCTGACTTCTGCGGTAACATTGCCCCTTCTCTGTATTTTGAGTAACCTTCTTAGTCTTATGGATTCTTCCAGAAAGGATAATGAGTTCCATTAATATTAAATTAATATTTCTGCCTTCCTTCCGCTGAGCTAAAAGACTACATAAGCTATAAATATAATGTTTGATTGACATTTAAAAACAAATTATCTTTTACCATTTCCAGTAGCAGGATTTCCTTTTCTAAGGTAATTGAGGCTAAAAAAAGAAGTTTTAAATGATATGGCAATAGTTCTTTCTGAACCAAGCAGTAACACTACATGTTACTAATTGCTCGAAAATAAGCTGGGTAATGAGTCTCTGACTAAATAGGCTTAATTTAGTTGTCTTCAAAAGCTTGCTGGTACTTAACACTTTAAAATAGTCATTGTTCTCTAATGTCCCGAATAGAAATTCCAGTGCATTTGAGGTCTTTCTCACATTTCATATATTTGAAAGAAATGAATGAAGAGTTTGTAATTACGTTTAGGACTGTCAGTCATTTAAATCTCATGGTTATAAAAAAGGTACAGAAGAGTGGATATTCACTTGAGTGAATCTTATTTTTAACTTCTTTCCTCTTGCATTTCCTTTTCACATGCTTTGATCCCCTTTTTAAAACAAGTTTGTAAGTAAAAGTTCACTGTGTTTGACAACGCGTTGTATACTTAACTCACATATGGATAGAATTAAATAGTCCTTGAAATGGGTAAAATTGCTTTAAATTGTGCTACAAAATTATGGATTGTAGCAATTTTAAGTTGATACTTTTTTGGAATGGTGGTGGCCATCTGAAGATTTTATCCAGAAAGACAAAGCAGGAATACTGTTTCAGTTTTCCATAAGATATTTTCCTAAAATGATCTGATGGAAGATGTATTATTTAAATCAAAATGAGGCACACGGGAGAGTCCACTGGGATAAAGAAAGAAAATATGAGCATTTCTCTTAAAATCTGGCCCTTTAACATTTGTATTTTTATATATATTTTATATAAGTCAAAAGTATTTTAGGGGCGCCTGGGTGGCTTAGTCGGTTAAGCGTCCGACTTTCGCTTAGGTCATGATCTCGCGGTTCGTGGGTTCGAGCCCCGCGTCGGGCTCTGTGCTGACTGCCAGCTCAGAGCCTGGAGCCTGTTTCAGAGTCTGTGTCTCCCTCTCTCTCTGACCCTCCCCTGCTCACGCTGTCTCTCTCTCTCTCTCCTGGAAATAAATTAAAAAATATATAAGAAAAAAAACAATATTTATTCTTCAAAAAAAAAAAAAGTATTTTAAAAAAAAGTTTTTTTAATGTTTTATTTATTTCTGAGAGAGAAAGAGAGAGATACAGCGTGAGCAGGGGAGGGTCAGAGAGAGAGGGAGATACAGAATCTGAAATAGGCTCCAGGCTCTGAGCTGTCAGCACAGAGCCCGACGTGGGGCTTGAAATCATGACCTGAGTCATGATTAAGTCATGATGCTTAACCGACTGAGCCACCCAGGCTCCCCTATATAAGTCAAAAATATTAGTGATACTACATATTTATAATTTATAAGTACATATTTCTTATGTGACACCCCCATCCCCTCAATTGACTATAATAAGAATGAATAAAGAACTGTCAGATTGGAGGAAACAAAGGAGACATGGCTAAATGTAGTATTGGATTCTTAAACAGAAAAAGGACAGTAATGGGAGAAACAAGTGAAATTCACGTAAGTTTTCTAGTTTAATTATAGTATTATAGAAGTGTCAATTTCCTGGTTTTGATCATTACTCTGTTTTTGATGATAAATGGTTGCTATTAGGGGAAGCAGGATGAAGGGTATAGTTGAACTCTCCACTACTATTTACAAATTTTTTTTCTTAAAGTTTATTTATTTTTGAGAGAGACACATTGACAGAGCATGAGCAGGTGAGGGGCAGAGAAAGAGGGAGACACAAAATCCAAAGCTTTGGGCTCCAGGCTCTGAGCTGTCAGCACAGAGCCCAATGTGGGCCTCGAACCCACAGACCGTGAGATCATGACCTGAGCCAAATTAAGATGCTTAACTGACTGAGCCACCCAGGTGCCCTGAACTCTCTACTGTTCTTGTAACTTTCCTGTAAGTCTAAAATGATTTCAGAATGATTACAATCTATTGACTTAGAGGACTGAAGGATAGTGATTGAAAAGCATCTATGTGTGGCATACTATATCATATATCATAACTTATTTTGAGTAGAAGTAGGCTTTGTGGCATTTTATTTGTGAAATTTTAATGGATTGGCAAAGGACTATAACAGGAAGTGTCAGTGCTAGCAAAGTGCCAGACAGCAGATCATTCAAATTAATTTCTGACAGCAGATCATTCAAATTAATTTCTGATTAATTTTGCAGCAGATTTGTCTTTCTGGTCAAACTTAGTTTTATTTACCAAGTGGACACACTTGGCCTAAGGAAGAAAATGGTCATAAAACTAATCAAGAATTGATGCTTACCATACATGGCTACCTGATTTAGGATAAAGACCACCACTGCACTTATTGGCGAAGGGATGAGCTTTTCAATAAATGATTCTGAGTGTAATCAACCAGGGGAAAACTGATACTTCACAAAAGAAGATATCCACATGACCAATGAGCATATGAAAATATTCTCTGCTTTATCAGTTGTGAAGGAAATGCCAATTACAAGCACAGCAGTGAATCCCTGGGCCCCTCCAACATGGCCAACATTAACAGAACTGACACTACCACCTGTCGACCAGGATGTGGGACTACAGGGTCGCCTGGGTGGCTCAGTCGGTTAAGCGTCTGACTTCAGCTCAGGTCATGGTCTTGCAGTTTGTGGGTTTGAGCCCCACATCGGGCTCTGTGCTGGCAGCTAGCTCAGAGCCTGGAGCATGTCTTCAGATTCTGTGTCTTGTCTGCCTCTCTCTCTGGCCCTCCCCTGCTCACGCTGTCTCTCTCTCTCTCTCTCAGAAATAAAACATTTATTTAAAAAAAAAAAAAAAAAAAAAAAGGATGTGAGATTACACTCCCAGGATGTCGCTGGGAGTATAAATCACACAACCACTTTGGGAGAACTAAAACTAAAGCTG